CCAAAAACTGTTGAAAAGTTATTGTTTCTAAATAAAAATGAATAATATTTTCCCCTATCCCCCTATATCATTGTCCCAGTTACAAAAGCATGATCTGTGCCCTTTTCCTAGTTCCACAAGCACTTCAGATTTATTGACGTATTTTTTTAAATTAGTAGTCATTCCCAACTGACCAAACAGACACAAAGATTCAATGCATCACACATTGTTATTCTTAGACAGCTGCTTGTGATAACACATCTGGCCAGTAGGTGGTTTCGTGTGCACATGAAGCTTCGAGTAATGAACCCTTTACTGAACCAATTGGCTGAAGTGGTTCAGTGCCTCATGGGGCTTCATTTCACCATCACTACTAGAAAGGTATCAATGTGTGATGTATTAAAATGGTGCTTGAGTGTAATAATTCCAAAAAAAAAGGGTTGAACAAGTTTGATAAGAAAGCCACCGTGCTATAGGAAGCCCACCAACTGGATCATCATCATGGCTGCTAGCTGGTGAACAGGGCACAGTTTAGACAGTTTTTCCTACGTGGGCCAATCACTTGTCCTTTTCTCTAACCTCAGCACAGGTTCCTAGTGGGTACCAAGACCATGTGGGACAGTTTTACAATGGCATCCCCATAAATCTATGGGAGGTTGGATACCAGTTCTTTTAGAACAGACAGGGAGCCAGGTGCTGACAGGGCCAACGGCTGCAGCCGAACCAAAAATTCCACAACCATATACCTCATACGACAAACAGCTACATATATAAAAAAGATAAATATGTATGTCAATATAAATATAAATACATATGTACACACACATATATAATTATGTATTGCAATACATATGCTAAAATACATATCTATGTAAATACACACATATTGATACCCACACATAACATAACATGCATATATATAGGTAAACATATATGTCCATATAAATAGAAAACATATTCACATTTATATTTACACACACACACACACATGTTTTATGTATTGCAATACATATTCTAATACATGTATGTAACATAAGTGTAACATAATATGTATATATGTTTATCAATATGTATACAAATACATATTGATAAACACATATATAACTGCACATAACAACATGTATACATTGTATGAATGCTCATATATACATATACATATGTATGTAACATATGTATATATATATATGTTTATCGATATGTATACACATACATATTGATAAACGCACATATATACATATATTTATATATGTATATATGTGTGTATATATATTTATACCTATACATAACATAACATGTATACATTGTATGAATACTACATATATGTACATATACAAATCTATACTTCTACATTAACATATGTATATGATTATAAATAAAATAATTTATCATTATTTGGATATACATATATAATTTACATATACTTAAAATATATATGTACATACTGTATGTGTACATCGAAAGACAAACACACACACACATATACTTATTGCCTTTATGTAGAGGGGTTCCATCATTCAATACAAATCGTTAAAAGGACATTTTGTCACTTCAAGAGATTGTCAACGGTCCACAAAGGACATCAGTCCTGGGATTATGTCTAGCCTCAGGGCCTGGCCAAAGACTGAAGCCACTGTTGTGTAGTATCCTTTAACATGTGAACTTGATATGAGTGTATAACACAGTGTCCCCAGACCCCCTCGGGATACAACTTTTTGATGGCACCACCATTGATACTGAAGACGCATGGCTTTGATGTGGCCACAATGATGTTCAGGCCGTGTCATTCATGAACTTGTGCCTCTCTCTCTCTCTCTCTCAACCTCCCTCACCGTCTCACCTCGGCTCCTGCTTCACTCAAGTTGACTTTTGTGACGAGAGAGAGAGAAAAAAACTACACCTGAAGGGCAACAAGCTTGTAAAATTGCTGATTTGTGACTCAATAAAAAAAACAAGACACACAGTACATAAACATTGGTGCTAATTTACACACCAAGGCACTGGAACGAAGAAGAAGAAGAAAAAAGGAGATGCACTTCCTCGCACCATTCCAGTTTTACAGCTTGAAAAAAAAATGCTAACCAGGAGCCGTAAACACATCAGAGTGTAAAACGGCCGGTAAATACAGTTGCTTCTGTCATGACCCTGTCAAAACCAACACCTCCCCTGACATTCTGCCTCCCCACGCCATTTCCCCTAAGTTACTTTGATTGAGCAGTGCTTGATGTCTCCCCAGAGGAGCATTAAAGGGTTTTTATATACACACACTTGGCTACAGGGTTGGGGACACAGGGAGAGCGAGAGAGAGAGAGAGAGAGAGAGAGAGAGAGAAAGGGAGGAAAAGGACCGTGTGAAAAGGTGAGATGCATGTGTGTCCGTAATAAATGAGCACATGTGCCGTCGTTGGCTGCTTTATGGTCACACACCCACCGGAGTACCTACCGGCTGATAGGCACACACGTAGCTCAGTGGGAACACCGGGACACTAATGAGAATGCTATTTCACTGACTGATACGCCGAAACGTACAACGTGTAATCACTTTAAAGATGTGTTTCTCCGAGTGAGCACATCAGACTACTTTAAACAAATGTCCGATCTTTGACTGAGGGTATGTAATTTGCTTGATGTAGGCTGGCAGCCGGGCAATCTAAGTGGGAGAATGAGAGAGAGGGAGGGAGGGAAGAGAGAGGAATTATGAGTTTAAAAGCATCAATGAGCCTGACATCCACGTGTTTAAACTGGGCTGTGAAGACTGCCTGCTAATGGCAGGATTTTCTGGCCCCTGCTCCTTTTTAAGCCATCTGAGAGCTACCATCATTGTGCTGAGTGTTTGGACAGCAGAGATATTTGTAAGATGTCTGGTTTCAAACAAAAAGAAAAAAAAGATGACCAATCAGGAACATTTTTATCCACACGTCCAACCAACGGACGGCATGCCGGTCTCTGGGAATCTCTCCACTACACCAGTGTTTCCCAAACTTTTTTTCTGGGGACCCATATTTTAAAAGTCACAAACCTTAGTGACCCAAGTCAATAGACATTATTCGTAAACTCCTGGGAAACACGATACAAGGAAAGGAAAGGAAAGGAAAGGAAAGGAAAGGAAAGGAAAGGAAAGGAAAGGAAAGGAAAGGAAAGGAAAGGAAAGGAAAGGAAAGGAAAGGAAAGGAAAGGAAAGGAAAGGAAAGGAAAGGAAAGTGAACTACTTGTCATTGTAACACAGCACACCACAGCACACAATGAAATTTGACCTCTGCATTTAACCCATCACCAAAGTGAACAGTGGGCAGCTTTTTGAGCACCCAGGTGTGTGGGGATGGTGCCATGCTCAGAGCACCTCAGTGATAACTTGGCAGCTGGTGAATTCGAACCTGCAACCTTCCGGACCCAAGTCCGCTTCCTTAACAGCTAAGCCACCACTGCCCCGACCCAAAAAATAATTTCTTGCGACCCACCAGTGGGTGGTGACCCAGTCTTTGGTAAACAATGCACTACACCAGTGTTTCCCAAACTTTTTTTCTGGGGACCCATATTTTAGTCTAAGTCACAAACTTTAGCGACCCAAGTCAATAGACATTATTATAAAACATAATGGGAGACGAAAATAATCTCACGACCCCTCTTTGGGAAACAATGCACTACACTGTACATGTCAATGTATGACGTTGATGTCACAGATATATACTGTATATAGAAAAACATTATTACTCAGACAGGTATCATAGACAGGTATCACACTCGATTCTGTCGTGCGTTCTGATTACTCACTGAAAGGGTCGTCCTTGGTCTTGGTTCCACTGACCGTCCCATTCTTATCAATCTTCAGGAAGAACTTCTGGAACGAAAACAGCTTTCTCCAGCGTGCATCCCCTTGGAGGTGGTTATAGCTGCGCACGTGCCTACCCTGTGGCCCCCCAGTCTGACCAGGATTGCCCCCACTGCTGTGGGCCCTGAAGAGAAAATCAGTCTCTGAGATGTTCAGTGGAACCTGAAGAGTTTGCCGGTTGAGCTTCCTCAGACTTTCTCTGTGCAGCTGATGGCAGGCGGAGCCTGGCAGTGAGAAGGAGAAAGTCACCACAAGGGCCACCAGGAGAGGGAAAGTCAGGGAGGAAGGCTTTACTGTGTGGTCACTCCCAAAGCCGGAGTGAGCCCCAGACCGGGTACTAGAGCAGGACAAGGCAGCCTTACTCCCTCCAGCAGCCCATCTGATCATGGTAGTGTGCTGTATGGAGGGCTTGTGGCAGCCTCAGAGCCTGGGACATGCTTCTGGGGGTGAGGATATGCTGAGCGGGCAGAGAAGGATGCCCTTCATACGACAAGCGGATCCGAACCTTCTCCCTAGCAAAGTTTCCTTTGAAATAAATTCGATTTGAAGGTTGTCTTTTGATGCTCGTTTCGCTCTTTGCAAATGGATCCTTCACTGTATCCAGTTCCAGTTGTACTTCCAGAGAGTTTGTCAGTTTAACAAAGTCAGCTGATATTCCAGTGGAAATATTAAAAAGTGTAAAAAAAATCCTTGATTCCAGTGAGATAAAAAATATAAACTCATGTATATAAACACGTATATGTAAATACATATGCAAATATATATATATATATACACACACACTCACAGCGAAGTGTCTACCTGTTGGATAGCCGCACGAATTCACATGTGCAGGAAGGCATTTTCAGATTTCATTTAAAGCGATGTCATACGGAGGAATGACGCTCAGTCCAGGTCTGATAATCCATGTCTTGTCCCGGAGTCCTGTTCTTCTTGCTCTCTCCTCATGTCTCTGTCTCTTTATTCCTCAGTGACTCCACCTTCACACAGCACCGGGGTAACAGTGTGGTCTCCCTCCCTCCCTCTCTCTCTTTCTCTCTCTCTCTTTCTCTCTCTCTGCCTGATTCAAGGGTGATCACTAAAAGAAATGACCGTGTTGTGTGTAGCCGTGCAACTGTTAGTTATTTGACCCCTCCCTCCGTTACTCATCTTCCCTTATCTCACATATTGGAGTAAGCGCTGCTCTGTGTGTGTGTGTCTAGCCCCTGAGAGTGAGAGGTGATAGAGGGTTTACATGTTTAGATGCTGATTGTTTCCTCTGTGGCTTTATTGGTTCGTCAAACATTGTTTTGTTTTGTTTTTTGTTTTATTTCAGATTTTCCACCTCAAGTGGAATCGACCTAGCTGTATCGTTGGCTACATACTGTTCTTCTCTTGTGATACCTTGGCTTTTTGGTGTAAACAGCCTAATCATGGAGAGGTGGAACCAGGTTTCCTGCTGTGTGCCAGCTTCTGAGATCATAGCAGAGCCAGGAATGCTGCCACGATCACTGCAATGTAAACAGACGTGCCCAACTGCTGCGAGTGTAAATAAGATGCCATCATTGAGGTAAATGGACATTAGAAACACTCGATGGCACCGCGGACGGTCGACACAGTGTTTAGTGCAGCGCTCCTTCTACTGTTTTTGTGTTTTTACCCCGATGTTTGCTCTGGTTCCCAGAACTATTACAACTCCGCTGGATTTATTCCCCGAGTTTCTCGCCTCTTCAACGGACGTTTTAGACATTTTACTCAACGGCGCCCTGGTCATTACCAAAGCAGCGAAGCGTCGGAAGAGGGGGAAACGAGCGGGTGCGCTCGTACGGCTGCGCCATCGCGGACTTCGTACACCGCTATCTGGCATAGTCCTCTCTAACGTGCACTCACTGCTCAACAAAGTAGCTGTGGCTGGTGTAGCGATGTAACAGTGATCCTACAGTTCTGCTCCCGTACATTGGAAACTTTTATCATCAAGTGTAATCCCTTCTATTCTCTCCGTGAGTTCGCTTCATTCATTCTGGTCGGTGTTTACACGCCGCCGCAGACCGGCGTGCAGGAAGCCCAGCGGGCGCTCGCCAACCAGATACTGTCTATGGAGCGAACAAATCCAGACTCCTTAGTTATTGTCCTCGGGGACTTTAACAAAGAAAATCTCAGCCACGAGCTCCCAAAGTACAGTAGTGCTCGACTAGGGAGGAGAACACACTGGATCAATGTTACACCATTATTCAAAATGCCTATCATGCTGTTTCTCAGGTTGCACTGGGTCACTCGGACCACACCATGGTCCATCTGATTCCTTCCTACAGGCAGAAACTGAAATGGTGCAAACCTGTAGTGAGGATATCAAAGCATTGGTCCAGTGGAGCCATGGAGGAACTTTAGGGGTGCTTGGACTGTACTGACTGGGATGTGTTCAGGACGGCTACCAACAGCCTGAAAGAGTACACAGAGGCTGTGACCTCCTAGATCAGCTTCTGTGAGGGCAGCTGTATTCCATCACGAACTAGGGTCAGCTACAACAACTACAAACCCTGGTTCACAGCAAAACTCAAATGGCTAAGAAGGCTCAAGAAGGAGGCGTTCAAGAGTGGAGACAAAGAGAAGTACAAGGAGTCAAAATACAGGTTTAGCAAGGAGGTGAAGAAAGCTAAACGACAGCATTCTGAGAAACTTCAACACGAGTTCTCAGCTAACGACTCTGCCTCTGTTTGGAGAGGGCTCAGACAAATCACCAACTACAGTCCCAAAAACCCCACTCCATTAACAACACGTGTCTTGCAAATGAGCTGAACAACCACTATTGTCGCTTCGAAAGACAATGGGTCTGTCCTGACCCCTGCCCCTGCACAGCCACACTCACCCTTCCCACTGCAGGAACTCCGACACCTCATCCAACACCTCATCCAGCTCCCTCAGCTTCTCCCCTCACCTCTACCACTGGACTGACTCTTGCTATCAAAGAGCAAGACGTGAACAGGCTGTTCAAAAAACAAAACCCCCGCAAAGCAGCCGGACCGGACCACATCTGCATGTAATCCGGGTCATGTGCATTTCTTTCGCTGCACTGTATGCCACAACAAATTCCTCGTACATGTTAACCTACCTGGCAATAAAACATTTCTGATTCTGATAACTGTGGTTTAAAATGTAAGAAAGGATTAATGATGATGTTTAAGTTCAGTGAATGTTTTCTGAAATTGCCTTTATCTCTTGTTCAAAGCTTGCCACTTACAAATCATGGAGGGGTCTGAAATTTTTATCGAAATCACATTGTATGTTTATCTATTTATTTGTATATTACTGTGTCAAATAAGTATTTGATCACTTGAGTCAAACAGTTTTAATATTTGGTACAGAAGCCTTTGTTAAGAATTCAAAGAGGTCAAATGGTTCCTGTAGTTCTTCACCAGGTTTGCACACACTGCAGCAGGGATCTTGGCCCACTCCTCCATACAGATCTTCTCTAGATCTGTCAGGTTTCGGAGCTGTCGCTGAGCAACATGGAGTTTCAGCTCCCTCCAAAGTCTTTCTGTCAAGACTTTGGTGGTTATTTAAAGCGCTTCATTTTATTTTGGAAAGTCAGTGTTGCTTCCTGTGCAGAGGAATATAACACAGACTTTGAAACTGTGGACCTGGGTTCGATCCCCGGGCTGGGAAACACTTGTTTAAAAGGCGGTGGTGGCCTAGTGGTAAAGAAAGCGGACTTCGGTCCGGAAGGCCCCAGGTTCGAATCCACGAACTGCCAGGTTGCAACTGAGATGCACTGAGCATGGCATCGTCCTCAAGCACTGCTCCCCGGGGGCTGACCACGGCTGCCCACTGTTCACTTGGTGATGGGTTAAATGCAGAGGATAAACTTCGTTGTGCATGGTGTGCTGTGCTGTGCTGTGTCACAATGACAAATAAAGAAAAGTTTAAGTTTTTTAAGTTGTTCACGGCCGGAGTATTCAGGGTTTAACGGAAGTACATAGCATAAGTTGTTAGTAGCTAAACTATATAATGTATGATTTAATAGTATAATGTGTTGCACTGTCAAGCTAACCTAAAAATGTGATTAAAATATGTTTGTTATTTAGCACTCATGGTTGGCGTTAGCTCGCCGTTGGCACGCTAGCTCGCGTTAGCATCGCCGCTAGCTCTATTAATATACTTGGTTAACTCTGTTAGCTTTCCAGGTTAGCACTTAGACAAGTCTTTTGTCTATAGCTATTAATGTTGACCAAGACACTGGTTTAGGTTAGAGTGTTTGCTGCTATTTATTACTTTAATTTCATAAGGAAACATTGGACTGGTATGTATTAAACTAGTTAATGTTTGTTTATTGTAAATTTGTTATTTACATTTTCATTAATACTATTGCATGTAACTTGTTATGTTTGGTTCACTCATTTCAGGTTTATGACCTGTGGTTACCTGTGGTCACCTGTGGTCATTTGAACATAAATAAATAAATAAAAGAAGACCAAGGATAAACACGAGTTATAGCTTCAGTGTGCTTCCTGTTGAGCCTTTTCGGAGGGCAAAATTTTAAAAAATCCGAACACTTTCTATTGGATTTTAGTCTGGAGACTGGCTAGGCCACTCCAGAACCTTGATATGCTTTTTACGGAGCCACTCCTTGGGTTTCCTGGCTGTGTGCTTCGGGTCATTATCATGGTGGAAGACCCAGTCATGACCCATCTTCAGTGCTCTGACCAAGGGAAGGAAGTTTTTGCCCAATATCTCACAATAGTAATAGTACTTAATACAGTGCAGTCGTCCTGTCCCCTGTGCAGAAAAACACCCCCAGAGCATGATGCTTCCACCCCCATGCTTCACTGTAGGTATGGTATTATTGGGATGACACTCATCCTTCTTCTTTCTCCAAACACGGCGAATGGAGTTAAGACCAAAAAGTTCCGTTTTGGTCTCATTTGACCACATGACTTTCTCCCATGACTCCTCTGGATCATCCAGATGATCATTGGCAAACTTCAGATGGGCCTTGACATGGGCTGACTTAAGCAGGGGAAACTTCTGTGTGACGCATGATTTTAAACCATGACGTCTTAGTGTATTACTGATAGTAGCCTTGGAAGCGGTGGTCCCAGCTCTCTTCACGTCATTGACCAGCTCCTCCCGTGTAGTTCTGGGCTGATTCTTCACCTTTCTTAGCATCACTGATACCCCACGAGGTGAGATCTTGCGTGGGGTATAATTGCTCCAACAGTTGTTCTTTTCTCACCAAGCTGCTTGGCAATTGCCCAGTAGCCCTTTCCAGTTTTGTGAAGGTCTACAATTTTGTCTCTTGTGTCTTTTGACAGTAGTTAGTTTTGCCCATGTTGGATAGTTAGACTTTTGCCTGATTGTGGGGTGCACAGGTGTCTTTATGAAAGCAAACGACCCCAAACAGGTGCTACTAAATTAGAATCATGAGCAGAGTGTAGTTGGACTATTTAAAAGCAGAATAATAGGTCTTTGAGGGTCAGGAATCTGGCTGATAAGCAAGTGATCAAATACTTATTTGACACAGTAATATACAATATTGTTAAAAAATCGTATAATTTCCTGATTTTCTTTTTTAGATTCTGTCTCTAACAGTGGAAATGCACATATGATTAAAATTTTAGACCCCTCCATAATGTCTAAGTAGGAGAACTTGCAAAATCACAGGGTGATCAAATACTTATTGACCTCACTGTATATATATACCGATATTGAAATATATATTCATACATATGTAAATATATATGTATATATGTATAAATATACAGTATATATATTTATACATTTATATACGTACATGGTATATATACAGTAAATATATATATTTACTGTAATTTAACACTTAAAAACCTGTAATTTTCTCAAAAATCGACAGTGCGCCTTATAACCCGGTGCGCCTAATGTAATACTTTTGGTTGCGCTTACTGAGCTCGAACCGATTTTATAAAGCCAAACCACACAGCGCATCACACATGATGGCACGCAACTGAAGCACATTGGGAGCCAACGATGACGTTTAACTCTGTTATCACAATTAGACGATTGTCAACAACAATTATTACAGTATAGTTGTGTAACCCTCGCGTCGTGCCTCCAAACACCCGGAGACTCTACGTTGTGTTTTTGAATTGTCGATGTATGGTGCGATGCAGAAGGACGACTCAGACGCATGGCAGTCGATTTTTTTCGTGGTCAAAAATGTATTCCTCTTTTTTTTATCAATACAGGAAAAACACACACTCTCTGCAAAACAACATTCGCACTTCCGCACGGAACAGCGTCAAAACAACAATACGGTGACCATACAGAACAAAAATAGTGACAACCGCCTGACTCTGGAGGGGCGAACAACAACAACAGCAGCGTCCTCCTGTGTCAAACTTAGGTGTTTTCCACATATCTCCTTCCCTATTGATCTGCGACTCCATGCGCGCCCATCTCATCGATATTGTCAAAACCCAAGTGAAGCAAACTTATTCGGGACTTGCCATCATTCCTGGTTGATTAACCAAAGAATTCCAATCGCCAAATATTGGTGTTAACAGGGCGTTCAAAGTTAAATTGCGAGCTGCGTGGAAGCATTGGATGACAGAAGGCTAACACACATTCACCAAGACAGGGAGGCAACGCCGGTGTTCTGAAGTTTTCTCCTACCTATAGTTTTTTGCTCCGCGAGTCAACTGCGCATCGGCCAATTTGCCGCTGCAGACAAGCCATAGTTTTCTGTACCCGACCGTTAAACAAGGTTAGTTTCGTGTATTTTTAATACTTTATATGACCAGTATGCAATGCATAGGTTTGACAGTCAACTTATTTCAACTGGCCACGTGCATGAAATCGTGTCTGAATGCAGTTTGAATAGCTAATACTGCGATTTATTGTCATTTTCATGTAGTCTTATA